GGGTGATTGCTTATGCTTCGTGGCAGTTGAAGCCGCACGAGTCGCGATATCCCACTCATGACTTGGAGTTGAGGGCAGTGGTTTTTGCCCTCAAGATTTAGAGGCACTGTCTATATGAGGTCTGTTGTACTGTCTACACGGATCACAAGAGTTTGAGGCATATTATGGATCAGCCGAACCTGAACATGAGACAATGCAGGTAGCTGGACGTAGTCAAGGATTATGACTGTGAGATCCTTTACCATCCGGGTAAAGCGAATGTGGTGGCGGATGCTTTGAGCCGTAAATGGGATGGATCTTCGGATAGGGAGATGTGTATAAGGATATCAGTGGATTCCTTGCTTTTGGGATTGATCGGGGAAGCTCAGCCCAAGGGAGTTCGGAAGGAGAATTGGAAGCAATAGAGGATTAGAGGTGAGATTGACAGATTTGTCATGGATAGTCGAGGGTTATTGACCCGGTGTGGTCGGGTATGGGTTCCAATTTCTGGTGGGATCAGACAGATTGTGTTGGAGGAGGCTCATAAGTCTCGTTTTTCTATTCATTCGGGGGCCACCAAGATGTATCGGGATTTAAGATTGAGCTATTGGTAGCTGTGTATGAAGAGGGAGATAGCTTGGTATGTTGAGAGATGCATGACATGTAGGATGGTCAAGGATGAGCATTAGAGTCCGCATGGCAAGCTGCAGCCTAGAGAGGTTCCCATGTGGAAATGGGAGCAGATTTCGATGGATTTTATCACCAAGTTGTCGAAGACGACAAAGGGTTATGATGCTAGATGGGTCATTGTGGACCGACTGACCAAGAGTGCCCACTTTTTAGCGATTCATGAGAGTTCTTCGGTCGAGAAGTTTGGCCGATGTGTATGCTTGTGAGATTGTTGCACGCCATGAGGTTCCGGTCTCTATTGTTTCAAACCACGATGTTCGGTTCACCTCCCGATTCTGGAAGAAGTTCCACGAGGAACTGGGCACGAGGTTACACTTCAGCACTGCTTATCATCCGCAGATCGATGGACAGAGTGGGCGGACGATTCAGACCATTGAGGATATGTTGCGGGCCTGTGTCATTGATTTTGGAGGGAGTTGGGATTCCTACCTACCTCTTGCGGATTTCTCCTACAACAACAGTTATCACTCCAACATTGGTGCTCGACCTTTTGAGCTCTTGTATGGTCAATATACCGTACCCCGATTTGTTGGGGGGAGGTTGGTCACATGGTTATGGGAAGGACCGAAGTATTCCTTCAGAACACGGAGCTTATTCAACAGATCAGGCAGAGACTGCAGACCGCTCAGAGTCGACAGAAGAGTTATGCCGACCGGCTCCGATCTGAGTTGGAGTTTCAGGTCGGTAATATGGTATTAATGAAGGTCTCACCTTGGAAAGGTGTGATACGCTTTAGGAAGAGGGGGAAGCTGGGCCCCCGGTATATTGGTCCTTTTTGGGTGATTGCCAGGGTTGGCAAGGTTGCATACAGGTTGGACCTACCTGAGGAGCTCATACAGATTCACAACACTTTCCATGTTTCGCAGTTGCGAAAGTGTGTGTTGGGATGACGAGGCGGTGGTTTCCTTGGGCAATATTCAGGTTGATGAGTGCCTGAACTATGTTGAGAGGCCAGTAGCTATCTTGGAGAGGAAGATGGAAGTTCTACGCAACAACGAGATACATTTGGTAAAGGTACAGTGGCAGCATTGGAGAGGCTCTGAGTAGACCTGGGAGTCGGAGGCTGAGATGCGTGAGCATTATCCTGAGTTATTCGTCACAGTTGACTTCGAGGACGAAGCCTAGATCAAGTGGGGGAGAATTGTAACAGTCATTTCAGGTGAAAGATTGCTAAGTTTTAAAAATTCAAGATTTAACCCTTCTCACGACGTGAGTCCTTGGATGTCACGTCGTGAGGAGGCTGGTGCAACCGCGTTTCATTTTGGGCCTCACGACGAGAGAAGGTTTGGCTCACGATGCGAGGTTAGTCCGTGATGAAACCCTAATTTTGGGGTTTTCCCTGTATTTAAAGGAAGTGAGGGCTAGGGTTAGCCCACCCTCAGCCCCCATTTCCTCTTTTCACCTCTTTTTGGAACCCTATCACTCATATTTGACATTAAGCTCATTTTTTGGGTGATTTTTAGCCAAGGAGAAGAAAAAGAAGAGCATCTAGCCCATCATTTTTGCATTCAAGTCTTCCCATCAAGCATCCTTCCATGTTTTAGGCCTTTGTGAGTTTCAAGTTCCTTGTTCTATGAGTCTACAAGATTAGATCTAAGTTTTTATGCTTAAATCCTTCCTTCCCAAGATGAAATAGTGGTTGGAATCCATAAAGTTAGCAACTTTATGGATCTCCTGTGTCTCTTGCATTATAAGTTCTAAATCTGGATTTTGGTGGAGTTTTATGACTCTTGCATGAAGATTTGGTATTATTTTCCCATTTTGCACTTTTGTAATGTTGGGACATGCATGTCCAAAAAGCCACGATTTTTATGATGCTCTGTAGTGGTTAAGAACATAGGGAAGGTTTGGTTACTTGGCACAAAGGATTAACAACTTCATTAAGAAATTTTGTTCAGGGACATCCTCACGACGTGAGTTCTTGGATGTCATGACGTGAGGATGGCAATCCTCACCTATTTGGGACTTATTGGGTCATGATGTGACCATCGAATCATGGAATTAACCAAGTTTGACATTAAGGGTATTTTGGGTATTTTAGGATTTTAACTGAGATTGGTCATTTGGTTGGGATAGGTGTTGATTAGAGATGATATTCAAAGCCGAGACCTCATCATCTTTTGTCCAGTTCGAGGTGAGTTTTCCTCACTGTACTTGTGGGTCAAAGGCACCACTGCCGGCCCTTTGGATTCGATATCCTGTTATGCATGCTATTATACTGTAGTGATCTGTTAGATTGGTATCTTGTTGTATAGGATGATGCTATGCTTAGTGATCTGTAGATCTGTTTGACTGGTTGTAGAATGTTATATGAATACCTGTTATATGTGCACATGTTTGGTCGGTGGTTGAGGCTTCACTGCTTTGTGCGTAAGCCAACAGGTCGGGGCATACCAACCCGATGGTTGAATGGGCCTGAGGGAATTTCATCCCGACGATGATTGGACCCATAATGTATTGGCATTCCAACCCGATGGTTGATTGGACCCATAGTATGTTGGCATTCCAACCCGATGGTTTAGGGGACTAAGGTATTCCAACCCGATGGTTGATTGGACCCATAGTATGCTGTTAATTATATTTGTTATCTTTTTATGTGTTGGTACTTTGGGGGATCTCACTAAGCTTTGGGCTTACAGTTTTGAGTTATGTTTCAGGTACTCTAGATGATTGCGGGAAGGCGAAGGCGTGACCGTACCCATCCTCGTGTTTTGACTTATGATTTTGGGAAACTCTGATATTGAACATGTTTTGAAATCTATGTGTAAACAATTTATGATTTTGGGTTGGTTTTAAAAGTTTAAAATTTTCATGATTTTTTATGGATGTTACATGGGTAGGACATATTTGGTCACTTAGAGAAGTGGAAACAACCATGGTGTTTGAGAAATTGATGCATTTGGAAATCACACCTGCTGGTTCCTGTCTCCCTCCTTTATATGGCACTTGGTTTAAATTATGGGCAGTTTTTAATATAGCACGCTAAAAAATTGGATTTCAATATACCTATACTAACAACTCCTAACCATAGGTTCTTAGGAATTTTGCCCGGGGCGGCCGCCCAACTTTCTTTGGCCTATGGGTCGACCTGCCTACTTATTGGAAATGAGATTCGAGCTTAGAACTACAAAATGTTCAAAACGACATCATTTTGAGCATATCTTAGTGCTCTTGTCATTTTCTTAGTAACCATGCGAAAGCTTTCGCTTACTGTCTACTTCGTGAGCCTTCACTTCCTCGTTTTGTAACCTACATTCTTTTCAAGGAACCGAAAATTACTCAAAACAATGTCATTTTATTTCCTTGTGGAAAATTCTCGATGGCATGTGAATTGTGAAATATTAATTGAGAAAACAAAACAAAATAATAGTAATAATTCATAACACCTAATTCTAATGTTTAAATTTATAAGAGAATCCACATCACTTAAATGAGTGTTGGACTTTACGGTTAATTTCTTTTGATTTTTAAATGATTAAACTGTAAAAGTGATCCATGTATTGTCACTTTGGTCCAAATTGTTTTGGACTAGCATCATTGTTCCAAAATCAATTGTTTATTGCGGTTTTGGTCCAAAATATTTTGAAAATGTATAAAATGACAGGTTTTCCCTTGGTAAATTTTTCTCATTTTTTTATTAATTTTATATTTTCCTGATTAAAAATTAAACAAAAAAAGAAAAAATATATAACCCTACCCCACCCCACCCCATCTTCTTGCTCCCCTTCTCTCTCTCTCTCTCACTCTCTCGTTTTTTTTCTCTCTCTCTCTCGTTTTCTCTCTTCATCTTCAACTATAATACCCACTGCCGAAAAATATAAACACCACCGCTGCCAAAAAATATGAACACCACCACCGCTAGAAAATACGAACTCTACCACCACAAGTTAACACCGCCACCACCACCATAGTTTAACACCACAACCACCACCTCCCGGAAAACCTCCAACTGGAAAACCCTCGTTTTTCCAATGCCGACTTTGTTGGTGCCATCCATTTCTCTGCCGCCTTAAACATTTTTTTGAGAATCGTTGGGGGTTTCTTTAGCTCGTAGCTCAACGTTATCTTCAGAGAACGAGAAATATGAAGTCGAATTTGTAGCTCGCTGTCGTTTTCCTGGAGATCTTGGGGTTCCACTACCGAAGAAGACGAATGGCAACGCCGACAAAGTTAATAGAGATCTCACCGACAACGTTCCAGATTTGCGAAGACGACAACGATCTTCCAGATCTACGACGATGACAATAACCAAATTTGTGACAATATATTCAAAAAAAATCGGCAACGACTCTAATAACCCTAGTAGCGCCGATGACTTATGGTTTCTGACAATGTTGGAGAAGGTAGTCGGTAATGTTCTAGATTCGACAACAATGCCTCTCTCCCTCTATCAGAAGGTCGTCTGAACGAGATAACGACGACGGTAGAGGTGACACTAGGTTACAAATGATAAGGAACTTATGGTTTTGATGCCTTCAGTTGCTCTAGGGTTTTAATGCATCTGACGACGAAAATATGGTGTGAGGATGGTGGTTGTGGTTGCGTTCTAAATTTTTGACAGGTGGTGTCGGTGTTCTGATTTTCTGTCATGTTTGGTGGTGGTGTCGGTGTTCTGATTTTCTGTCATGTTTGGTGGTGTCAGCGTTCTGATTTTTCCGACAGATAGTGGTGGTGCTGTTGGGAGGAGATAAAGGGATGAAGAAGGAACATATGTTAAAAATGGTGGGTGTGGTAGGATAGTAAGAGTGATGTAAGATTTTTATTTTTGATTTTCTTGTAAATACATAAATGGAAAAAGAAAAAGGAAAAGATAAAAGTAATGGTATAATTGTCATTTTAAGTATTTTCAAAAAACTTTGGACCAAAACCTAAATAAACTTTTCAATTTAGATCAGTGATGTTAGTTAAAAACTTTTTTGACCAAAGTGACAATTTTCGGCTAAACATAAGGACCATTTTTGCAATTTAGTCTTTTTTTTAATAATATTTTACAAGACTTTCTATTCCTGTCTAGAAACCGACAATAGAAATAGGTGTTAGAGTTTATAAATTTTTTTTGTTAATTAGATTAATTAATATTTCACAAATGAGCATTTTATGGGAAGAAAATTGTTGTTTTGAGCATTTTTGAGTTTCCTTCTTATTTCGTAGTCCCAACTTATAAATGAGGTTCGAAATTGAGAAATGCTCAAAAGGATGTTGTTTTGATCGGTCTTAGGATGTGATCGACATGTAGCGCTTAGTAGCGTTTGAGAGCTTCTAGCTTCTAGCGTTTGACAAAACGCTTCATTTTAAACAGAAAGTATTGTTTGACACTATAAGTTTCTAACGTTTAATTTAAACAAAACACTCTAAATTCAAAAGCTACTTCATGTAGCGTTTAAATTTCGAGTCATACCGAGAAAAGACTCAAAACGACATTTTTAAGCATTTTTTTTTGCTCGAACCCTATTTCCTCTTGGCTGCGAAGATGGTAATTACAAATTACAATAATTATATGTAGACTAATAATGCTTGTTTGGAGAATTTTTCATAAAGTTTACTATTTTTTTGGAAAAACCGTAGAAAACAAAGTTGTTTTAAAAAAAAAAAAATTAAAAGTAACATTAACTTTAAATAAATTGTAATTTGTTTAGTTGTACAACAAATCAAACGATTCTATAAACGAAGCAATGGGACATTTTTAACTAATGTTTTTCTTCTTTTTCCTTTTTCTAATGCGTTTTTTCCGGTCTATAAATACGGTCAGCGAGCGTATTAGGTATTTGCGTCATTACTCACTTCCTTTTTCGATCAAGTTCGCTGTCCCACTTCCAAACCCTAGCTGATCCATCTCTCTCATACTTCGCTACGAATTAAATATCAAACAAGAGGTTTGATCTCTATTTCGTTAAGTTATTCAATTCATCACATGAAAGTTTTCTAATTCAACTCGATCTGCTCTTATTTTCAGAATTTTCTCTGAATTTCTTCCACTGGATTAGTTTTTTTAGGGTTTGATCCGAGTAGCTTGAAGCAACTAAATAAAACACGAGGTATGTAATAGTTTTATCATTTGCGTCTGAGCGTGATATGCGATGAACATGTGCCTTTTTTTTATCGTCATGTATGTTTTTATAAATATTATACTGGTAAAGAGGCATATTTCAATTTTGTAGCCTCAAAGGTTAAAGAGTGCTGGTGGTATGTGGTATAGATAACAAAATTAGTTACCAGACAAATTAGGTATAGATCATTCTGTATTTGTTTCTATAAAATTGTTCTTCATTTCACTCTTTAATATGTCATTCAATCTTTACCTAGGTTAACCGTATTAAAAACGGAAAGTACAAACTTCATCCGATTTGTTACTAAAAGAGCTTACTTTTCTGATGGAATTACTCTGTTTTTCCATTTCCTATTGTCTCTGATGATACCTATTTTTGTTGATGGGATTACTCTGTTTAAAGGATGAAAGTACAGTGGTGTCTTTTGTTGATTATGTACTCCTACGCATGCCATTGCAACAAGGAGAGCTTAGTATAGTGAACATCACAATTTTAGAGCATTTATACAAGCATGAGTTTTTCCATTTTTATTTTTTGTTGGAATTGCTTCTAAGCAGCTGCTTCTTTATCTATTTTGTGTCAGTTTTTATTATAAATAGGTAAGGCTTTGGTTTTAAGGTACATAAACTAAAAAAATTATTGAAGTTACCTTGCATTTGATTTCAATTTGATGGTTTTTAGTTTTGTGTGGTTAGATCATCATATTTGATAGGGATTCTTGATCTTTGAGTTCATAAAGTGACTTTTTGTTGATCAAAACACCTTTTTTTTTCATAAATGTAACTTTCAGATCGCTACTCAATACTCTCACTAAATGAAAGCTTTCTTTATAACAAAATTTTTCTAAGTTTTAGCATCCTTCAAATCTTAATATTTCTCAAAGGGATATTACCAAATTTGTACTAGCTTTACTCTACCCACCATTACTGTTCATTTCAAAGATGGAAAAACAAAAAAAATGAATTTCAGTTATGTATATCTGGGGTTTCCTGTTTTTGATTTTACACCTCTTAATTTCTTCATCATAAATATATCATGCTTACCTACAATTATTGATTTTTTGTAACAATTCGATCATACTAAGCCCTAAAGGTTGATTATATTTATACCTTGACTTCTGGCAATACACAAACGTAATAAATACTCTTTTTCCACATTCTATAAGAGGCAAATTTTGTCCAACATTTATAACATTATATTGAAACATTAAAGGAAAAAAAACCCATTTGACCCAATTGAGTAAATTATTATCTGTATAAATGATGTTTAAAAGCTCTTTGAAAAAATATCAGCACAGTTGGGGAAATTGAAGGAATAAATAACAAGGGCAAATTTGTAAAAAGTTGCGTAAAGATGTAAAGCTATCTTTTTTAACAAATTAACATAAACATCAATTTGTTCTTACACTCATATATCATTCCTTTTTCCAAATATTCTTTTAGTATCCATACAATTCCATTCTTCTAATCAATCAAAATTACTTTTCTACCCTCAAGGTATTCCAAAAATGGATCAACAAGGCCACGGGCAGGCCCAAGGGATGAACACAGTGAACACCTCTGCCCAAATGCCCTACACCATGCCCCCATACCCACCTCCAAACCAAATGATGGGCATTGTCCCCCCTGCCCCCGGGCAGCCTTCCCAAACCTCGGGTCTCCCTTCCCCCCCTGCCCAACTTGCCCAACAACAACTCGCCTATCAACACATCCACCAACAACAACAACAACAACTCCACCAACAACTCCAAAACTTTTGGGCAAATCAATATCAAGAAATCGAACAAACAACTGATTTCAAAAACCACTCTCTCCCTTTAGCCAGAATCAAGAAAATCATGAAAGCAGATGAAGATGTTCGCATGATATCTGCAGAAGCACCTGTGATTTTTGCACGTGCTTGTGAGATGTTCATTCTTGAGTTGACTTTAAGGTCATGGAATCATACTGAAGAGAATAAAAGGAGGACACTTCAGAAGAATGATATTGCTGCTGCTATTACACGAACTGATATTTTTGACTTTTTGGTTGATATTGTTCCACGTGAGGATTTGAAAGATGAGGTGATTGCTTCTACTATTCCAAGAGGTGGGCCACTTCCGGTGGGGGGGCCCACTGAGGGTCTACCGTATTACTATATGCCGCCACCACAGGTTGGTGGTTCAGGGATGTATATGGGGAAGCCGGTGGATCCTCAGGCGATGTACGGACAGCAGCCTAGGCCTTATATGGCTCAGCCTATGTGGCCTCAACAGCAACAACAGGAGCCTCAAGAAGATGCTTGAATTGAACACAGGTATTGGATTATATCATAAATTTATAATATTAATGCCAATGTACTTTTGTTTATTTGTATTAGAATATTTCATTTCATTGCTATAGTTGGTTAGAATATTCAAACTTGATAAGAAAAAAGTGATTAATAAGAAGAAAAGTTTGAAGTATAGTTTTGTAATAGAAGTTACAAAAATGGTCCCTGCCTAATAGAAAATATATAGATTACGTGGGCTAGTATCACCCTAGTTATTTCTTTGGGTTTTATGCAGAAAAGTCCCAGTATTTTGGGAATTTTTTTGATAAAGTCTTAAATGTTTTTTTTGAACAGAAAAGTCCCGATTATTTAACATAACGAAAAAGTCTTTTTTTTATTTTAACAGGAAATGACAGATTATGTGATTTTTCCCAAAACAATGAGACTTTTCTGTTAAAAAAAACATTTAGGACTTTATCAAAAAAAATTCAAAATAATAGGACTTTAGTTCAATAAACTCTTATTTCTATTACAAAACTTTATACATGGACTGTTTCTGTAAAAAAATCTGCATAGGGACCTTTTCTTTAAATTACAGGGAATGTTTTTGTAATTTATTTTCTACAGGGACCAAACCTGGTAATCTGTAAAATTTCTATTAGGCAGGGACCATTTTTGTGTTTTTTTTAAACATATGGACTGTTTTTATAAATAAAAACTGCATAGGGACTTTTTGTGTAAGTTACAGGGAGTAGGGACCATTTTTTGTAAGTTTTAACACATGGACCTTTTCTGTAAATTACTGGGAATAGCGACCGTTTTTTGTAATTTTCTACATAGGGACCAAACCTGCTAATCTAGAAAAGTGTTGTGGCCAAAGAAAGCCTAAAATGTACTATTTGTTTTTCAATTAGAATTAGTATATATTATAATAATAGTTGGAAGTAATATGCTAAAATATTAATAAAAGTATTAATGAAACAAGTATTAGCTAAACAAGTTACATTAATGATAATGTGTTTAATGTTGTCGTTTTGGAATATGATGTTTATTACATGATTTAAGAATTTTACTTTAAAATAGGGTTTAAGTGCAAGAAAAAGCATCATGCTTTTGTTAATTTGTTTTATTTTTGTAGCATCATACTTGACCTTTTTCTTGAGTTAACCACTAAACCAATATATATATATATATATATATATATATATATATATATATATATATATTGTTTAATTAGGATGAAAAATACTTTGGTAGTTGAGTGAATAAACTGCATGTAAATGTAAAAAAGAATGATTCAATGATTTATAGTTGTTATTGCAGTGATGAAAACAAAGAGACCCTGAAGATGGTGGGTGTAGATGAAGGAAGAAGAGTTGATATCTGTTTAAATTTTCTCATGTGGTTGGTTATTAGGAAGAATGCAATGGTAATGGTTGTAGTAGTAGTCAAAATATAACTTTAAAAAACTATGTTATGTGTGCATGTTTGTCTACTTGTCCTTAAATGATACTACTCTTGTTTTAAGAAGGATTAGGTTCTTAAAATCTCAAAACTCATGGCCATTGCAAGAGGAATGTTTGATTGCTCTTTTGATGCATGTAAGTTGAATGATTCCAATCTCTTAATGGTTTAGAGAAAGTTTTTTTAACTGTTTGATGACATATGATTCGTTAAGTGGTTACTTAGAGGTTGTATCGAACGCGTTGAATGCTTATTGATTTAGAGGAGAGCTGACCTTTGATATTGACTATTAGGGACAATGTTGTGTTTTGTTTTAGTTTTACTAACATAAAAACGATCCAATGATAAAAATATTTGTCGTTTTTATAATGGATGATCACCTCTATTGGTAGCATGCAAACAAATTATATATTAGGGAGAGTAAGGTTTATCGGTCAATAAATTTTATTATAAAAAAATCTAGTAAGGAGATGAATTTTTATAAGTTTAATATAATATTCATAACCAAAAAGAACTTTATAGAAGGAACATTTTATGTATTGGGGATCTACAGTGAGATGATGTTTACCGACTAGACAATATTTGACTCAAAAATATGCATTTCTTTTTATAAGCCATGAATTGGAACATTACGGTTTTAAGTACAATTTTGGATATCAAGTCAATCTCAAGACTTTGGATTACATATATTAACTAACTAGGTATAAGATCCATGTATTATATGGGTTAATCAAAAAAATTAAATATAAATGTCTAAATATTTAAGAACTTCGGATTTATAAGAAAATAAGAAAAATAATGAATTATTAAAATTGATTTTTTATCTTTTAAATTTAAATAAATAAACAAAATAACCTAATGAGCTTTAATTGGAGAATTTTGAAATAAGAAGGTAAGTCCATTAATGAAATTGATATTCAATTATTAGTACATTTATTGTAATTATTACATTAAAGTATTATGTGAAAGTTATTAAAATAGAAAAATCCATAAAATGACATGTGGAAAAGAAATTAATTCAAAATAACCATAAAATCACATTTGACAAATTGAATTTGACAAATTGAATGAGAATGTGACATGTGTCAAAAAAAATTTCATTTATTAGAATAGATATTTAATTGTAAAATATCCAATATTATTTAAAATTATGACACTTTAACTATAACTTGAATTAAAAGTGAGGAGCTAAAAATTGCAGGTCCAAATTTTTCATTTTTTATTTTATTTTTTATAATACTTCCTCAATGCATTTCCCCACTATCGTCTTCAGCATGTGGGGCTAAATAACCCCTGATTACAATCGGGAGTAGGGTTTAATTTTAATTTTTAGTAGTATTGTTCTTTATAGATTTGTAAACAATTGTTTAATTTTATTAATTTGAGTTGCTTGATTTAATTGTTTTATTTAAACTGTTATTTATTTTTATTTTTAAGACAACTTTATTGTTAGTATTCCCAGTTGTTCCCGAACATTTAAAACAATGTGTACGACGGAGGTGCGGATGCACATAATTTGATCAAAGACTTAAATATTTATAGTACAATAATGTCTAATGTGACATGGTCGGATCCAAAATTAATAAGTATTAATACAATACCATTTTTAGAATTCAAACATGAAACGGTGATTACCGTTTTCTAATTTATTAAAAGTTATTCTTTTTATTAAACTTTATTACTTTTTCACCAATTATTACAACTCTTTTTTAATAATATCAAAATTACGCAAACTCCCCTGAATCTTACCATACTTGCAATCGCTAGATTAGTGGATTTCATTTCATTATACCAACTCAATCCACGTATTTTCATGCTAAAATATTTTGCTCATGTATAGTTTTATACATTGATTCCATTTATTAAATATGATTTTTGTCGCCATAGTGTGATCAACTAAAAAACATAAATACAATAGCAAGATTTAACTATTATTGCACACATCTACAAGACAACAAAAACCCAAACATACTTTATTATTTTATCGATTTACTCCAACCTTAAAACAAACCACATCTTCCAAACTCAAAAACCCTAACAATAAAGTCAAACCCCAAAGTAGACAAAAGTCAAACATGAGATTGATGTAAGATGCTTTAACCAACTGGACATATAGCCTCCAAACTGCACACAATAATAAGATATGGTTCCACACAATTAGAATATTTACAAAGATGAAATAAACATATACATTATATCAATATTATATTAAGTCCATTATTAAGTCAAAAAGAAATTTGTATGTATAGTGTTTACCTTCTTCCTAAGCATTCAATTATATCAGTTGTGAGAGTTGATCTCTTTTTATCTGCAAAAGCAACTGATGCAGCCTTCCTCATTAAAGTGGACCCCGCAATACAACCCAACATTGTTGGGTTTGCATCAAATTTCCCTTTACTCACAAGCTCCCGGGCCCACGCTACATAAACTGCAACACTGATCAACAATAGCAACCTACTTTTAACTATTTCTGTAATATACCATTTTACTTATCTTATCTTATTATTATTATGACAATGAAAATAGTATTTCAATATTTCATAATAAATAGTTATAATGAATATGATTATTATTATTATTATTATTATTATTTTAAAATTTAAAATAAGGAAATTACCTTCCAGAGAGTATATCACCTTGTCCACCACAGCGTCGAGGGGAGCCATATATGCTTACTGATCTAACTGCATCAGACACAATTAATTAATATATTATTTTTTAAACAGTTAAAAAATATATATAAAGAAAATATATAAATGGATAAATAGATTAAATGAATTATAAATAAGTACCTGCTGCACCATCACTAATGTAATCAGATTGTCCTTTACGAAGAATAGTCACACCACCAATACTGCCAAAAGGATGGTGAGTAAAATGACCATTTTACCCTTCTGTTTAAAAAGAGAAATTACCTTTTGGCAAGAGAGAGTAATTGTTGGGGCCCATCTTGATCATTTACTTCACAGTTTAAAACTTTGTTAACAAGACGTTTATATTCATTTACATTTGGAGTCAAAACAGCTAAAGGATACCCTTTGACTAAGTCAACACAGTTTGTCACAAGAAATAGCCCATCCTATATATATAATATAATCATCCACAAAAATCAAATGAAAATAAATAAATAAATATCTGCACAAGTGTTTGTTTGGTTGGATGGAATGGAATGGAATAATAAAGGAATGGAATGAGTCATTACATTCCTTCAACAAAGTTTCATTCCTTTCCATTCCATTATTCCAATGGAATTCACGATTCCATTCCATCACACCAAATAACTACCTCACAATTCTTACCCCATCAATGACCATGGGAACATTGCTTCGCCTAGCATGCCTCATGATATCACTTACACAATCCTTCAATCATATCAAACATTATATCTTAAATCTTAAATCTTAAATAAATAATTAAAAAAAAAAAATCACAAACCAGAAGAAATGGATCTCTTCCGAGCCCTGGACCAATCACAAGACAGTCAAACCTTTCCATCCACTTGTCAACTTCATCAAGAACCTTTTTTGAGATTGATGTTTTTTCCTCCTCCCTGTTATATTATATATTTAAAATAATTAATCACATAAGAAACTTATATATAATATTATAAAATATAAAATTAAATTAACTGACCTTATATTGTAAGATTCCTCTAGCAAAGGATGTACAATTAACTCAGGACTATACCCTTTTATTACTGGAGCAGCATCTTTAGTACAAAACACATGTGATAAATCTGCACCCTGAATAAATATTTACAAGAAATAGCAACCTACTTTCATTTATTTGTGTATTATAATTATAATTAGGTAATGTAATAGGAAGAAATAAAAGTATATAATAAACAAATGAATGTAAGTAAATTGTTATTTCTTACATTTAATATTATTGTCCAAAGAAAAAGAAATGAAATATGGAGAAACTAACAATTTTGAGAGCTGAAATAGCAGCAAAATATGGGGCACCAGTGTACTCACGACAACCACCTATAACAGCTATTTTGCCTGATTAAATTGCAAATATTGTCAATAATTAAATAAGAAATATCAAAATGTATGATTTACATTTGCATGAAACAGGTAGAATAACAAGGAAAATGTACAATGTTATAATAAACAAATAAATGAAAGTATGCTACAATTTCTTGCAATCAGCTCTGAAAAATAAGCATCTGATGAATTTGGAAATGAAGCTCACCAGCTTGGCCTTTATGCTTAGTTGGATCAAGGGCAGGAGAAATTGACCTCAAAATACAGAGAGCATCAACTTCTAAATGGGGTCCACCAATCATCACAGATTGCATTCTTGTGCCCTTATTTACCAAAAAAAGGTGTCTTTATTGCAGTAATCGCCTAACAAACACCTGATCAAGTGTTGTTGTCTCCTTATTATACCACCAAATGACTGCTGCATGCATATATATATTCTTTCAACTGCACAACGAATCCAAAATTGATGAAAGAAAACACAAAATAGACATAGAAATGTAAATTAGGGCTAGAAAAGGGGGAAATAGCAAGAACATGAAGTGAATGAAAGAGGAAAAGTTTACATATGTGAAATTTGGTTATTTACATGCAAAAATTTGGGACAGAGGAGCATCAAATCCAAATGTTCTAGAAAATTTTGAAAAAATGGTCTTCGGTGTCAGGTAGCTTTGTGAGCTACTTCCACCCAACATGTTAGAACAAGATACGTTTGGCAAAGACGAGCAGAAGCAACACATCATGTTCTCACTGTTATGCCAAAACCAAAAACAGAGAATCTTATGGAAAAACAACGAATTTTCAGGAAGACGACGAACCCTATAAATTAGATTCGCGAAAACTTGTTTCCACCGTCGTTCTCGTTCCTACGTCGTCATCCTTCGGTCCGAGTCGAGGGTTTGAGGTTAGGGCTTGCGAAATGGTGTGCGTTTAAGTGCCTTGTCCTCGTGGACAGGTGTTTGGGAACTTAAAAAAAATTGGATAAATCGAATAATTATCAAATATCAGAAGAAATCGGCATCTGATTTCAAGGAAAGAACGGATTTCTCGTACCTGTGGAAGACGGCGGCGGTTGGGGAAACCGGTGGACGGAGGTGCGGCTAGGAAGGAGGAGCCGGAGGTGTGAGGATCGGTCGCTGGAAAAAAGAGAGAAAGAAAAAGAGTTCGTCTTTTTTTTTTTAAGTAAATGGTCCTTTTGGTTTGGGATAATGCATACCGTGGTCCCTAACTTTGTTTTTTTTAACTTAAATAGTCCTTGTGATATGTTTTTCTTACTTCATTGGTCCCTAACAAGTAACAACTATAAAAAGACTATTTTTCTCTTAAGAATTTATTTTTTAATTTATTGATTATTGATTATTATGGTTATTAAACAAAAAGCACTCCCACCCCCACCTCTTTCCTCTTACCTTTTTCCCCTTTTCTTGCTACCATTTCATGTTTCATCTCCCCCTTTAAATGTGAGCATCTCCTGCACCACCACCCCCCACCACATCTTCAAATAAAAAGAGAAACCTATGGAAAAAGCAATTGGATTTAATCATAAATATGAGTTTGAATTGGCGAGAGAGATGTGAACAAACATGGTCAAAAGGGTTTTCTTTTTTCATCGTCGGTTGTTCCGTTTTTAGTGTGTGTGAAATTATATAGAAAGAATCTATAGAGGGGGAGATCTTCGGTTGTTTTTTAGGATCATTTTAAGGTCCAACAATCATGACAAATAATATGTGAAATTTAAATAACATCTAAGTAAGCAAATAACTAAGAGTAAAACATTGAAAACATGGTATGAAGAACAAGTGTAACATCCAGGATGTTTCTTATTTCGGGATATCGGACCGTAATTAGATCAAGTAAGAGTCTTGGGCTTCAAAGGATGAATTTTAGACATTATTTAATGTTGATAATGTTGGTTTAAGTGATTTAAGCCCTTGAAATTATGTATTGGAGCCAATGGGTAAAATGGGAAAAAATGATATTGTGGATTTTTTTACATGTATTAATGAATTAAGTTATGTATGCTTTAAGTCAAAAGTAATTGGATAAAATTATGGGGCTTGTTAATACTTTCGCATGTATATAAATATCAATGAAAGCGGGTTTAGAACGAAGAAGTTATGAATGTTTGAAGCTAAAAATGGAATATGTGAAATGCATCACCACGGCGTGGTGAGCTATGCAGCCCAAGCCCATAAAATTAGGTTCCCCCCTCGTATTTAAAGACTCTACCTCTGTGTTTTATGTCATTTTACAACCGCCATCACATCAAGAGCTCCTAGGAAACAAACAATAACCTCTTTTTTCACAACTTTGAGCTTTTCTTTTCTCCTCTCATCCATTAATGGTGCTTTTTGGGTAATTTTGGTGTTGTAGCTTGCAAGATTGTCTATGGAGCTTGATCCCTGAAGAAACCAACCTTCATTCACACTCTAGACCTTTGTAAGTCACAAAGTTCCATGCTTTATTGAGTTTTACCTTTGGATCTATGAGTATCTTGTGTTTTGGTTCATCTTGTCATGTTTTGGTCCCAAAACCTTGTGTTCTTGGAGTTTGATGAATTCCATAACTTCTAAGTGATATATTTAGCTTCTAGACCTTTGTCAATAAAGCAATGAGATTTTCTTTGAGTTTATGCACAAGTTATGACCTCTTAAATTGGTTTATATTGTAACACTTAGTTTTTCACACTAGGTACACCCTAAAAACACACTTTCTCATTTAGGATTTATAAAACATTTTGGTGTACACTGACACTCTGGAGTACAAGAAGCTATCACCAGGGATTGTACTGACCACAAGTACAAGATCCGAGTCGGGCGTCACAATTAACTACCTACAAAACAACCGCAAATAACACATTGTAAGCCTTACGACTGAGTGAAGAACAACTACAATAACATATAACACATAAATTCACACATATGTCACACATATATCAAACAACTTGATATCATAGTTAATATTCCACCAGACAAGTGTATTCTCAATATCTCCTTAAGATATCCAACAAATAACTCATTAACTGCTATTGCCTAATAATATTCTAAGGCTTAACTAACCAAGAACCATTATCTCTATACACCTCTAGAGTATACTCTATTTTAGATCAATACACCATCACGTGGTGTGTGTGTGTAACATCCCAAAATTCAAGACCGAAAATTTCATTTTTACATAAGTAATTATAAAAACCAGAAGTATGAAACATCAGTAGTGTCAACTCATTTCATAATCAAAAACCAATATTTCAAATAACTCGAAACATGTCATAGAAAAGTAATATCATAGTACAACTCCCAAAGATCTCATAATGAGGAAATCATAGTGTGATGCGCTGCGATCATGCCAGTTCCTTTCCTTTTAAAGAAGAAATACCTTAAACCAAAACTGAAAACCGTAAGCACGAAGCTTAGTGAGTTCCCCCATCATACCACATACCATATAACAAACATACTACTTAGCATATTCGGGTACTGGCCTACCCCTTCGGTCTCTTTCAACCGATAACCGCTTAGCATATCAGGGTGTTGGCCTGCCCCTTCGGTCTCTTTCAACCGGTAACCGCCTAGCATATCAGGGTGTTGGCCTGCCCCTTCGGTCTCTTTCAACAGGGTGTTGGCCTGCCCCTTCGGTCTCTTTCAACCGGTAACCGCCTAGCATATCAGGGTGTTGGCCTGCCCCTTCGGTCTCTTTCAACCGGTAACTGCCTAGCATATCTGGGTGCTGGCCTCCCTTTCGGTCTATCTGACCGGATACGGGGTTTATTTCACCCCTACCAATACTACATAATAACATACATAAACATACTGTCAGGCATATCTGGGTGCCCGACCTACCCATTCGGTCTCTTTCAACCGGATATTGGGTCTATTTCACCCCCTACCACTACCACATACATCATAGGACATAAGCACATAAATCACAACAGATAATGGCATACCAGACAGTTATCACAAAGACAATCATCTCTACTATAAACACCTACTAGTGGGTCGTCATTGGTGCCTTAGACCCACTGCTATCGGGAAGGTAACTCACCTCACATTGCTGAAGTCCCGCGGATAAAACTAGGAATGACAACGGGGCGGGTTCGAGGCGAGGCAGCGTATTGATGGGTTATGAGCACTACAACATTCCTATGGTGTACATGCAAACCCTAAAGCTTTGGATCTAGTTTGTCTAATGAACATGCAATAATCATCCAAAGCCATAAACCCTAGATCTAGCATGTGATAATCAATATTAACATAAGAATAGGGTTTAGATCATACCTTGATTGTTATGTAGTAATAACAATCTATTCCTTGTTGTAATTGGCTTCTAAAAGCTTAGAGTCACAAATGTCACTCCTCTAATGGCTCACAAACACCAAGAGCAAGAGGATGAAGAAAGAGAAGAGGAGAGGCACTCAAAAACGTCTAGAAACCCTAAGGATTCAGTTGTCCACGTTTTTTGGTGCCCTAGTGGTGCTTAAATAGTGAGACTATTAGGGTTATCTAACAAGGAAACCCTAATTTGACTGCTTAGGCCCTAAGCAACCCATGGACTCCTCCTTTAGAGGCCTTGGACGATTTCTAATGGGTTTCCCCATAGAATTCGTCCACTCCATCCTCTATGGAGTCCATTAGCCCAATATCCAACTATCACACAATTGACAGTTCCAGTCCCCTTTATTTAATTAATGTATTTTAGCCACAAAATTAATTCTTAATGAATTATTGACTAATATTAATTAAACAATATGATTTCTCCTTTAATATATTATTCTCATAATATATTAATAAATCATAATTAATCTCTTTCTCCATAAATCATCCTATCAAGTTGCTTTGGTGAAGGCAACCCAAAAGGACCATGCACCATCGGGTCAAGTACATACCAAAATAGTTATGGACTTAGATACTAATCCAACAGTCTCCCACTTGGATAAGTCTAATAACTATTCCGCGTATAACTTCAGATCCTGATCCACAATCGTAGCTTTCAAAAGCCGCTGTCAACTCTGATCTTATCAGATATGCGTCCTTTAGATAAGGAATCATATATTCCTCCATTCTAGATATCGTATAGACGTGAGACATGGATTGAAATCATTCTCTCAGTCTATGTGTTGTTTCCCGATTTCTGATTTACGACGACTGACTAATTGAACAAATCAAATTAGCCCTGGACCGGCCGAGCATTTTCCTTTGTCATCACTAAATCATCGAGGGGCCCACAGATATCGCTTTTATCCCACTTTGGGTAAAAGGAACGGATAAACTTCGACTCAATGCTTGTTTGTACTCACTCATCGAATCACACACAACAATACGTTTTATAACACCAAGTTACTGCTGCGTTTACATATTATCAATGTGTAACCGACTCGCAAGATACAACTCACACATCTCGGTTTCAAGAATATAAGATATTATCGTCTCACCAATCACTCGTGATAAAATCCATGAAGCGATCCAAGTGAGCGTGGGTTTAATCCAATGCTCAAATCATATTCGTAAGCACTCATGAACGTTGTAGCAAACTTTTGCTATGTCTAATACACTTTAGACAATCTACACACCAATTCATGACAATCTTCTTTCATACCTACTCCCAAAGTATGAGCGACTGTGGAACGTTCAAATAATTCGATTATTCTCAATTAACTCAATTATTTAGGAAGTCAAAACATGCAAATTGAAACACAAGAATAATACTAATCTTATATGGCCCCAAACCTTTGAGTATAAATAAAACACCTTTTATTTAATCACCATATTGATTACTCATTATTTGTTGTTTCGGTTAATCAACTTCTTACTTGAATTATAACGACAATTGTCCCATGCTCTTAGCATGCACACTATGTTTACTTATGGTCCTTACTTTGTGAAATAGTATAATTGAATAACATTTTCAATCACACTCATTTCACAATTCCCAATCTCTACCACAGGTGTAAGAATACCAAATTCTTGCCACTTATAGAATATGTTAGATTCTAACACTTTATGCAACGGTCCTTTCGTAATGTCATGGCACAAAAGTCACAAAGACTATTGCCAATGAAATTACAAAGTGCTCTATTGGAGATTGTTACAAGACAATTCCATAGACACGAAGTCTCACATTCAAAGTACATTCCTTTGAACATCCTTCTTGCATAAAAGTTTCTAATCTAGACATA